CTCTGGAGCTAGCTGCACTGGCCTTGCAAGATACTAAAGATGCTGCATGTTCCTCTGCTAGAATGTTCTCCCGCCCTCACACCCAGACTTCTTCCCCCATCTTTTCATTAGCTCAGTGCTCTGAGATGTCTGTTCCGGAGTCACGCTTGAGGAGTCTCTCTGGTCAGGGGCCCCTGACGTTTTGTTCCTCTCTCACAGGCCTCTCTTACTTTCTCCTACGGAGTCTGTTAGTTGTGCCTGTGATGACATGGGTACCCACCCTGGAATGTAAGCTTCCTGAGGCTTGATTGTGTCTTGTTCACCGCTATGTGTCCAGCATCTGCTACAGTGCCAGGGACATACTAAGCAATCAGTTGAACAAATGAATTCATGAAGCAACAAACCAGTGATTCTGCCTGCATCGGTGTCGTGTGTGTGTGTGTGTGTGTGTGTGTGTGTGTGTGTGTGTGTGTATCTTTTGATGCCTCCTGGAATCACCAGCCTCCAGTAAGATGTTCCACCTGTTCATTTAGATGAGGTCTCACAAACTATGCGTGTGATCCTGGACAGAGGTCAGTGTCAGTGAGCTCAGGGGAAGATGATGGTTTCCCTCGTGGCATGCAGAGATGGAAGGAGATGTGGGGTCTAAGAAATGCTTCTGGACTTCCTTTCACAGCGCTGGAAGGTGCTACGCAAGCCGCTGGGGGAGAAAAGCCAGCCAACAGTCTTGTGTAGCTGTGAATCCTCCAGCCACAATAAAAGACCATCATGGCTGGCTGGAGAGATGGCTCAGAGGTTAAGAGCACCAGCTGTTCTTCCAGAGGTCCTGAGTTCAAATCTCAGCATCCACATGGTGGCTCAACCATCTGTAACTACAATCTCCATGTGATACCCTCTTCTGGTCCACACAGTGCACAGACATACAAGGAGGTAAATATCCACACACATAAAATGAATAAATTAAAAAGAGAGACCACCCCCCCCCCAAAAAAAAAAAAGAAGAAGAAAGAAATGCTTCCGGACCTGCTTTGGCTCTGCCCCAGGGTTCAAGGTTGACTTTGTGTGTGTGTGTGTGTGTGTGTGTGTGTGTGTGTGTGTTTGCTATTTGAAACAGGGTGACTCTGTGTAACAGCCCTGGCTGTCCTGGAACTCACTCTGTAGACCAGGCTGACCTCGAACTCACAGAGCTCCGCCTGCCTCTGCTTTGTGAGCCCTGGGATTAAAGGCAGGCATACACCACCACTGCCTCACTTGTTCCTTTATATAGATTTGTAGATTTTGTTTTTATTTATGTATAAGTATATGTGTCTGTGTGAATAGATGCCGTATGTATATGGGTGTCTGGAGGCCAGAGGTGAGCACAGCTCTCTAAGTTCTAGGCCAGCCTGGTTTATATAGCAAGTTCTAAGACAGTCAGGGCTAGAGAGATCCTGTCTCAAAAAAACCAACCAACCAACAAATAAAACATTCTCAGATACAGCCAGAATAGTTCCAGAACAAACATCGGAGTACTTCACTTTAATGCAGAGGCGATACGAACTCAGTTAAAGCCATACTTGGCGTTTTGGTCTCTTTATGAGCTAGCTGTGTGCAGGCTGGTACTTGGGATGTTGGACAACAGCAGAGAGATACCACTCCTAGTCATCCACTGTGAGGATGAACAGGGGCTCTGCAGTGCGTCCTAGCATAGGAAGGACCCCAGGCACTTTCCATGCATTTACCGGGATAAGGGTGCCTGTAAATTGGATAGCAATTACGTTATTTTGATCGACCACTAGGGGGCAGTAATGGATAAAGAACAGGCACAAGGACTGTGAGAAAAGCTCCTGTCAGTTAAGGGACTCACTACTAAGCCTTGAAGACTTGAGTTTGACCCACGGCAATCCCAGGCTTTGGGAGGTTGAGGCATGAGGACAGACAAACCAAGGCTACACAATAACTTCAAGGGCAACCTGGGGCGCAGAGTGAGATCAGAGACAAAGACAGACAGACATACGTATTCGAGGGACAACTCCAGAACTATTTTCTCTCTCTCTCTCTCCCCCGCCCCCTCCTTCCTTCTCTTTCTTTCTTTTTCTTTTTTGGTTTGCTTTTTGTTTGTCAAGACAGAGTTTCTCTCTACAGCCCTGGCTGTCCTGGAACTCACTCTGTAGACCAGTCTGGCCTCAAATTCAGAGATCCACCTGCCTCTGCCTCCCGAGTGCTGGGACTAAAGGTGTGCACCACTACCACCCAGTTAACTCCAGAACTTTTACGCTTGAACAACCAGAAGGACCGAATTGCTGTTTCCAGGAACACTGAAGAGCTGAAGAGTTTGTCAGAGAGAGGAATCAGATCTGAAGGGATCTGGCATGCGGCTTTGGACATGGTAGTCTGAGACACCTCTGAGACACTGGCTATAGGAATCCAGGTCTGGGCTTTGGGGACCTGAGTGGGAAGCATCCATCCTAGCCTCGTCTTTGGCCATGCAGGGAAGCTGTTATCGCTCTGTCCAGGACTGTGTTTCCCCTTCAGTACCTCAAGCTCTGGGCGGTATCAGGAGCCTGCTGCAGCCAGCCCCTCGCCCAGCCATCAGGCACCACCCCACGTGGAATCCCAATAGGAACCCTGTCCTCAGGGACTGAGGCAGCATGGATGACACCCACACATATTCCCTGCTGGTCATGGCATGGGGCCAGGTGCTTCGGGCTAGTCATTCACACACTACAGGAACAAAGCTGGAAATCCCCAAACCTGGTTATCCATGAACTCCGTCTTGAGTGAGGGCCAAGCAGAGCTAGTCAGAGTCTAGAGAAGGCAAATGGGTTTTTATCTCCTGTGCCAACAATGATTAATCAAGTTTGGTTCTGGATTTCAGCTGTCTTTAGAAGGGACAAGGGTGGGCTGGTGAGATGGTACCATGGGTAAAATGATTGCAGTCAAGCCCGGTGATGTGAGCTCGACCCCAGGAACCCATGTAAAAGCTGGATGTGGAGGCACCTGCCTATGATGCCAGCATGCCTATGGCGAGGTTGGAGGCTAGCGTATGCAGAGAGACAGCAGAAATGAGAGAGATCCTGCCTGAAAGACATGGTAGAAGGAGAGAACTGATTCCTGGCCTCCACCTGAGCATCATGGTGCATATACACAGACACAGACACACACACAGACACACACACACACACACACACACACACACACACACACACACACACACACGGTGGTTTGAACAGGAATGGCTCCCATTGGCTCATAGATTTGTATGCTTGGTCACTAGGGAGTGGTGTTACGTGGCAGGAATTAGGAGTGTGGCCTTGTTGGAGGAAGTGTGTCACAGGGGGCAGGCTTTGGGGTTTCAAATGCTCAAGCCAGGCCCAGTGTCGCTCTCTCTTGCTGCTGTCTATCTGGATTTAGAACTCTCAGCTACCTTTCCAGCTCCAAATCTACCTTCATCCACCATGATGATAACAGACTAAACTTCTGAAACTGTAAGCCAGCCCCAGTTAAATGCTTTCCTTTATAAGAGGGAGTGGTGTTACGTGGCAGGAATTAGGAGTGTGGCCTTGGTTGCTGTGGTCATGGTGTCTCTTCACAGCAATAGAACACTGACTCAGATACCCACAAATAAAATAAAAAATAAATCTTTTTTTTTTTTCCCCGAGACAGGGTTTCTCTGTGTAGCTTTGCGCCTTTCCTGGAACTCGCTTTGGCGACCAGGCTGGCCTCGAACTCACAAAGATCCGCCTGCCTCTGCCTCCCGAGTGCTGGGATTAAAGGCGTGCGCCACCACCGCCCGGCAAAAAAAATAAATCTTAAGAGAAAATAAGAAGGGGGCAGGATATGAAATTCATTAGTAATGTCTGCCATGAGAGCAAGATCAGGGAGTGTCTGACATTGCACCAGATACTTGGTTTTCCTCATTTACCTGTCGTACTTTGGACCTTTGCTTCAAAGGGTCTCTTGCGGTACTGTGCACTGTGAGTTGGTCAAACCACATTCAAATCACAGAAGCACAGATGAAACATTCCTTAATCTTCTGCTATGAGCTGGGAACTGGGAGAGGGCCCAGGGGACAGAAATGTCCCCTTGGACATTAATTCTACTCTGCTTCTCAGAAAGCCATCAGCTTTGAGCTGGGGGTGAAGCTCAATCTGTAGAGTGCTTGCTTGGCACACATAAAGTCCTGGGCTTGGTCCCCAGCATTAATGACATAAGCCAAGTCTGATGGGGCAAACCTGTAATCACAGCCTTTGAGAGGTAGAGGTAGGATCAGAAGTTCAAGGTCATCCTCAGCTATATAGAGTTCAAGGCCAGTCTGTACTATTTTTTGATACCCTGTAAATAAAACAAAACCACTCACCAACCAACAAGATAAAAAGAAAAGAAAAAAAACCCAACAAGATAAAAAAGAAAAAAACCTAAAAGTAAGCAATCAGGCAAGCGTCAGCCTTCTTCAAGTTGGACTCTAGTCCAGCTATGGAATAGAAATGTCCGAACTGGGAAGGATCCCAATTCTTCTCTTTGTATCTCCTAACGAGAGGCTGAGCCCTGCCCAGCTAGGTTAAACCAGTCACCTGGCCTGGGCACTATGTTTCCAGAGCATCTAGGTGTTCTGAGGTGAGGTTGGATCTCCCCCTCCTCTTCCTCCTTCTCCTCTTCCTCCCCACCTTCTTTGTCATCCTTTGTTGTTGTTGCTGGTATTTGTTTGTTTTTATGTGCATGGGTGTTCTGCCTGCGTGTCTGCACCATGCTCAAGCAGGGCCAGGGAGGCAGGAAGCAAGCCTCCAAGCCTCTGGAACTGGAGGAACAGGTGTGTGTTAGGCGCCATGCTGGGAACTGAACCTGGGTCCTCTGCAAGAGCCACAAGTGCTCTTTACCATTGAGCCGTCTCTCCAGTACCCACCCCACCCCCGCTGTTGTTTATTTGAGACAGCCTCATGTTTCCAAGATTAGCTTTGAACTCCTGATCCTCTTGCTTCACTGAATGCTGAGGTTATAGACGCGTCACCGTGCTCAGCAGCACCAATTTCTTTTTCTTTAAATCAGCTTTATTAAATCTTTATTTGTGTGTATGCACGTGCACATTTGTGGGTAGCCATTATTGCATCATGGCCATTTTACAAATGAAAATGTTAAGTTCAAGAAGGGCAAAGAACTTGAAGAAAATCACTTCCCGTTAACAAGTGTGTAATGAGGAAGATGAGTCTCAGAGCTCAGGCTAGCCCATCTGTCACTTGTGCTGAGGGACTGCGCTCAGCTCCAAGCCTGCTTCGGTAGCTTCCTGGGTGAACCTCCAGATCTCTGCAAGGGAGTCCCTTGGTCCTCCTCCAGGAGGGCTTCCTTCCAGGGCCCCTCCCAGAGAAGCCAGAAAAGCACACCCACGCTGCAGCCCTCAGCCTTCTCCAGAGATCTTTCCATGCCCATCTTATCTAGGCAGAGGGTACGCTGCCCTCTGAGTGACTGTGTGTTTGATACCTTTGGCTCTGCCAGGCCTGGCTGGCACAGGCTGGATCTCCATGAACGTTGGATTTGTTGGGGGCTGGATGCATTATGGAGCTAGGCCAAGAGCAAAGAACAAACATGCTGGCAGGCTCAGCTGTCAGCATGCACTCCGGGGCCAAGACGCTTGCCTCTCCTCTGGCCAGGGACTTCTGACCATTCTGCCAGAACGCCCAGTCCCTCGGCCTTGGCTCTCCTCTCTCATCTAAACGCCAGCCAGTGGGAGTAAGGGTGGAATCCACCCTCATCGGGGTCTGTGCCAGCCACACAGGAAGCCAGAAGCCTTCTCACCTCCTTGATCTATGGAGTCAGCAGAAGTTCATAGGACAGTGATGATGAGCAGGCATTGTGCTCAGTGGTGGGAATAGATGAGAGCACAGGCCAGGTGTGGTCCCTGGCCTCACTGAACTGACATTCCAGTAGGGAATATACCTAACCGATAAACACACAAGCAGGCATGCGTTAGCAAACTCTCCATGAAGGGAACCAATTGGGACTTTCGAGAAGAATGAGCTACTCAAGCACTTTAGTCCCGGAAGGCCTCCAGGAGGAGGTGACATGGAAGGCAAGGCCTAAGGAGCTGAAGTAGGCCATGCAAGGTGAAGGGAGGAGCATTCTGGAAACCTCATGAGAGAAGCTCTAAGGATGGAATGCTGGGGATATGAGAACAGGCCTGTGTAGCATAAACACGGAGCAAGTTTGGGGTCAGCACGAAACAAGGCTGGAAGTCAGGATAGGATTTAAAAAGAGCTCTGATTTTTATCATTAGAATAACAGGGTGTGTGGTGGGGGCGTGTCTGGGGTTCAGGCTGGGTTGATATGATGTACATGCCACATTCTCTCTAGTGCCGGCTGAGAACTGACTGGCACAGCCAGGGCCAAGCCAGGAAGCCGGGTAATAGGCTAGGGGAGAGGGGACAATGCCAGGCCTGGACCCTGGGTCCAGAGAGTCCAGAAACATTCAGGAAGTAGAAGTGGAGGTTTGGTGGTGGAAGTTTCCAGAACTAAACATCTTTATTGCCTGCCCGCAACACCTTGCAGTGGGGCCACCAGAAAGGGTTGGGACTAGAAACAGGAGACTTGAGTACTCAGCTGGGTGTGTGTGTGTGTGTGGTGTGTGTGGTGTGTGTGTGTGTGTGTGTGTGTGTGTGTGTGTGTGTGTGTGTGTGTGTGTGACCTGCCCAGTCTCCTGGGAGAAGGAAGCCAAGACCCACCAGGATGGATGCTCAAAGGGCTCAGCCGTTTCTGCCGTGTTTCCATGGTGTCAACAGACTGCTTTGTAGTTCAGGTACCTGCAACGGGGAAATGTGTTTCCCATGGCGCAGCTATGAGTGAACACCGAATCTCTGGCTAGGAGGCTGCCAAACTGCAGGCCTGCAGTAAGAAGACCCTAATATCGAGGGACTTCTATCACCTGTCCCCACCCCAGGAGCCTCATGACTCTTCTACCTTCTCTGTACCTGTGTCTCAATGGGCTGACGATGCACTCCACAGGGATGCCCTCAGATGGGTCCAATATGGCAGCCAGATTAAAGAACTTGCTTCCACTAAGAAATGAAGGCAGTCTTTATCTCTTCTTGACCTAGTCGCAAGCACTCTCTGGGTCACTCAGGTGACCTCTGCCCTCTGTCCCAATTTTCTGAAATGACCCTTTTGCTCCCAGGGTTTTGTAAACTCTACTTTTGTGCCCACAGGCTCCTTACTACAGCTCTGGGGACTATGGTTCCATCAAACGCTGGGATGGGGAGGGGGGAATGGAGGCTTTCCAGGATGACCTCGCATTTCACAATCATCACGGGCCCCAGCGTCAGTGAACAACCAGCTCCAGATTCCCACAATCTTGGTTTTGCCAGGCATTGACCAGGGTGTTCCCAGATGGCACTGTGGGGAGCAGGTGCTCACCAAAGAGGACAGAAAGGTTTCCACACTTTGTTTACTGATAGGGCAACCCTAAATGTCCTTTCAGCCTCTGCTGTTCCACTGGCCATTTACTCCCATTAGAGAGGCAAGGGGCCCGAGGCGGAGCTGGGGAGTGAGGTGGCCTCTGAGCGGTGCCAGCTGTGTGAAATCTGGGTGAGCAGGCTCTCAGGCCCTCGACCCACTGCATGACCTTGAAGAGCCCAGCCGCCTCTGCCTGTTCTCCCCCTCCTCCAAGTTATTTTTATCCAGCCTGACGGCCCTTGGCTGTGCCAGCAGTCTGGGCTCTGGGAGCTGGATGCAAACCGGGCAGCTCACATGTCTGGTGCTCAATCCCAAGAGAATGCCTCTTGGGGTGCCACCATCATGGCCACAGGTCCTCCACACTGGGGACCCTGTGGGAAGGGCCATAGTCCTGGAGGACAGTACCCAAGAGAAAGGCAGCTGGGCTCTCCCCATGCTCTCTCAGCCTTGGCTTCTGTCTGAAGCGCTGTGGAGACCTGGTGGTAGGGATATCCTGCCACAGAGCTTTGCTGCTGTGGAGAATCCTCCTGACCCGGCTTGTCAAGCCTTAGTGGATGGTCATGCAGGCATCTGAAGTGGGGATGACGGTGGTTGCAGGCCTTAGCTGTATTGAACAGATCTGTCCTGTGCTTTTCACTGTTACGGGGTGGGCTGCAGAGATGTCTCAATAGCCCCTGCTTCATTTCTGTCTTCAGGAAGTGAAGCGGACAGTACATTCCCTCCTGCTGGCCTGGGATGGCTGAATCTCACCAGTCCTCAGGACTAGGAGTCCCACCTCTTCGCGTGAGCAGCCTGCCCCTGGCCATGGAATCCTTTAGTTTAAAGCTTCGGCTCCAGACCCAAGGTCCATGTGTACTGGGTCCACAGTGCCTAGGGGGTCACAAGGCACCATTAACTCATCTGTGCCTGTGGGGAATGAGACTAAGGCTCTGAGCTCTGAAAAGGCTACAGGGGAGCCTGGTGGGCAGCAGGGTCGGTGGTGGGGGCGGGGCGGGGGCTCTGATGGGTGAGGAGAGATGTCTTTGTATAGAAGCCGTCCTAGAAAATAAATCAGAAAAGGTGGCACCATTTTCAGAGCTCCTCGGGGGGGAAAATAGGAACGTTTCTCTTTCCTCGGGGATGGTTGTAGGGGGGTCAGCTCAGAAAGCCCCAATTTCGGTGATTTCAGAGACCCACGAGTGGTAGAGCACTGCTCCTGATGGCCTCCCAGTTGGCCCCAGAGGAGGTGGACTGGAGATGGGCCCAGACACACTGTCATCAGATTTCCCAGCTCCAGGGGCTGTCGGAGAAGAAGACGGCAGGATGGGGACTATGTGGTTGCTCCTGGCAACCCTGCTACCAGGGGCTGTGGGCGGAGGGGCAGCCGGCCTCTCGGGAGGGCGGGCTCTCTGGGCCGAAGCTGCCCCTCGACTGGGCAACAGATTCCTCCGGGCTGGCAGGATGGTGCCAGGCACTCTGTGCACTGGAGTGGACCGGAGGGCTGAGATGGGGAAGGTGGGAGAAGAGACACTGGGAAGGACAGGGCCAGGCACTCTTCCCAGAATGGCAAGCTGGCTGCTCAGGGAAGGCAACCCTGAGCAGCTATGGAGGAAAGACCAGGGCCACACAGGGAAGGCCAGGGCACCAGTGGCTGTGGGTGAAGGCTCCATCTCAGCTGCATAGCTGTTGAGGTGGGAGAGAAGGCGAATCCGGACAGGGTCTGCATGGCTGCTGGGTCCTTCCAGGACCCCCAGGTACCTGATGACCTCCGTGAGGCATTCCCGAAAACCAATGCTCCGGAAGTCAACAGCCAGGGCTCGGGGATCAAAGAACCCTGTAAAGTAAAGTATCATGAGGGCATGCCGGGGGAGAAGCACAGAGCCTGGGGGAAGATACCACGGGTGACCTGCCCCACCTATACAGCCTACAGTGACCCAGTGACCTCGGACATGTCCCTTCACCTCCTGGAGCCCCGGCCTCAGCACTAGAAACCACGCTGCATCACAAGACGTATTTTCTTCACACTGCATGATTAACGCGAAGAAAATCTTGTGGCCCACACAATTTGTCTAAGCTGACACCCGTGAAAAGACAGCGGACATAGAAGATGTATTATAACCCCCGCTTCCCGAAAGGAGGCAGGTTTGGGGAGAGGAGGCAATGACGGCAGCTAGCGGAGTAGAAGGTCGCTAGGAGAAGGCACCGTTGTGTAGTGGTGAAGCCTTTAGAAGCCACCAGGGCTGGGTTCAAATCGTGGACCTGCCACTTAAACTGGCCACCTGGCCACGGATGAGCATCTCCAGGCCTCAGTTTCCTTAGCCTGAAAATGAGGAGGGAGGCGATAGAAGTAGCTGTCACTGCTGCAGTGTTTGCTGCTTCGGTGAGGAGAGAGGGTGAGACAAGATGGTCCTGGAACCCCCTCCATAAATGGAAAGGAGCTGTCACTCACGCCAGTGGCCCAGCTGCTGCTGCTGCATCTGAGTTCATCCTCTAGCTCAGAACACAGTTTGGAATGTACTGGCCCCATGCAGCTGCTACCAGGCAAGGGCTCTCTCTTGGCCTGATGTCACTGATGGGCAGGCCAGGTGGACTGTCCACACAGGCGTCCACATCTCTACTGCCTCTGCAGTACCTGCCCTTCTCTCGAACACCTTCTGGGCAGGAAAAAAAAAAAAAAAAAAAAAAAAAAAAAAAAAAAAAAAAAAAAGCAGCAGGCAGCCAGTACTGGCTCCTGATTGTGGCAGCAAATATCTTGTCTCTGGGTCATGGCTGGGGACCCTGGAAGGGACAGGAGAGCTCAGCAGGAGTCTGCAGAGTCTGGGCAGTTTAGGGTGAAACTTGGCTGTGCTGTGTGATGATGCTGATGATGCATGTGTCCCCTCACCTCTGTGTCTGCTGTACCCTTTCATTTTAAACACATACACACACACACACACACACACACACACACACACACACACACACACACCACACACACACACACACACACATCACACACCACACACCACACATCACACATCACACACACACCACACACCACACACCACACCACATACACACACCACACACACACACATATCACATACCACACATCACACACCACCACACACACATCATACACCACACACACACACCACACACACACACACACACACACCACACATCACACACACACATCATACACCACACACACACACACACACATCACACACCACACACATATCACACACACACATCACACACCACACACCACACATCACACACACCACACCACACACACACACACCACACACACACACACACACACACACACACACACACATATCACACACCACACATCACACACCACCACACACACATCATACACCACACACACACCACACACACACACACACACACCACACATCACACACACACATCATACACCACACACACACACCTCACACACCACACACATATCACACACACACACATCATACACCACACACACACACATCACACACCACACACACACACACACACACACACACACACACACACAGTTTGTTTGTTTGTTTTTCAAGACAAGGTTTCTCTGTGTGTCCCTGGCTGTCTTGGAACTCCTTCTGTAGACCTAAAACTCAGAGTGCTGAGACTAAAGGCATGTACCACCACTGGCCAGCTTAAACATTATTTCTTTATATGTATTTCTTTGAGACCTGGTCTAATGTAGTCCGGGTTGACCTTCAACTCACTATGTAGTTGGACTCTGAACTTTGATTTTTTTGGGTCCACACTCCAAGTGCTGAGATTACAGGAACAGCCACCACGCCTGGTTAATACAGGGCTAGGGATTGAACCCAAGGCTTTGTGGATAGTAGGCAAGCACTCTACCAACTGAGCTACATCCTCAGCCTCTTCTAATTAACTAGTTAGTTAATTTTCAGATATTCATTTATGTAGTCTAGACTGGTCTGAAAGTCACTATGTTGCCTACAACGATCTGGAACTCCTGATCCTCCTGCCTCCACTTCCGGAGAGCTGTGGTTACATGTGCACACCACCATGCCTGGCTACATGGTTCCTTTTAAACAAATGTCTGCCGAGTTCTTACTACACACTTCACGGCAGTATCTAATTTAATCCTGATAAACACCCTTTTACCATATCCACTTTAAAGCTGAAGAACCTCGGGGACAGAGAGGATAAACCATTTGTCTCAAGTCACAGAGTGAAGGAGCAGCAGTACCAGAATTAAATCAAAAGCCTGAACTCCCAACCACAGCTCTCTGGCCTTTCCATTAGGCTGAGACACAGTGGTGAGGACAACCCCCCACACCCTCCTTCCTGGTCCTTGTGAGAATGGAGTGAGATAAGTGAAAACATTTTAAAGTGCTGCCCACATGCTAATCACTACTTTCCTTTTAATAGGATCACCATGAATATAATTTGAAGCTTCTTCCCACTGGCTGCCACTGTCAGGAATGTGTTCCTTTGGCAGGCTTTTCCAAAGGAGCCACCGCATTAGAATTACTGGGTAGGTCGGCTAAACTTGCCAGTTCCTACAGTCTAATCCAGACTGACTCTTACGGGGAGATCCTGAGTACTGCCTGCCCCCAGGTGCCACAGCTGAGCAGCACCGATTTGGACCACTTAGAATGCCACTGTTCTCTTCCAGAGCTGAAAGCTGGCCCCGAGCTTTACATCTTTGCAGCTAAGGTCTGTGGAGTGTGGAGGCTTCCCAATCACACCTAGAAGCTTCCAGACAGGATTTCCATTCACCTGGGAGTCTTTTAAAACTCTTAGCTACCGAGAGGTAGTGGCACACGACTTTAATCCCAGCACTTGGGAGGCAGAGGCAGGTGGATCTCTGTGAGTTCGAGGCCAGGCTGGTCTACAGCATGAGTTCCAGGACAGCCAGGACTGTTACACAGAAAAACCCTGCCTCGAAAAACAAAACAAAATGAAAGTCATCACTGCTCCATGATTTTAATGGAAAGCGTTAACAAAATGATGGAGTGACTTGCCAGTTCCCATCATCTGACACCTGCTGTGAGCATGACTCACTTCCCAGCGCTGCCGAGGGTCCAACAGCAGTCCAGAAGCTTAGGCCAATGGGTAGAGACACCAGCAAGATGTCTATGGCTAAAAATCTCAGACAATTTCCTCCCTGGGTTCAGGTTAGTTGAGGACTGGGGTTCTATTGAGTATTTGCTTATCCAAGCTACCCGTTAGCCAGGTCTTGCTGGTGAGTCTTCTGAAAGCCGGAGCCACAGAACAACCCTCAAAGACTGGGAGGAGTGGAACTGAGGAAAGGCTTAGGACAAATGGAGACGCAGGAAGTCATGAGGGAGACAAGGAAAGAAGAGAGACGATTCGGTGTAGTGGCTCCTGCCTGTAATCTCAGCTCTAGAGGCTGAGGCAGGAGGATTTGTGAATTTGAGGTCAGCTTGGGCTACAGAGAGAGACTCTTTTCTCATAACCAACATCAAAGTAGCATAAAAGTAAAGTGGGGAGCTTGGCACATGGTGGTTGGAACCCACTTCAGTCCTTCCACAGGAGGGCAACGACAATCTATTTGGCCATCAGTTTGAGCTAACCCCTTGATCCCCAGGGCCCTGTATTAAAGTACTTGTAGTGTGATTAATTCCCAAGAGAGTGGAGCATTGGTACCTGTGCCACCAGAGGCATGGAGCATCTTCAAGTGATCCACCGTCATCTGCAAGACCTCGGCTTTCTCCAGCTTGGAGGAGCCCTGTGGGAATGGAAGGCAGAGGCTGCAGCAGGTGATGGCTGGGGTGAACTGCCCTCCCGTCCCCATCAGCAGTCACTGCCTGGGTTTCCTCCCTTCCCTCCCACTCCCTGACCACTTGGGCTACTACTTTGTCCAACCTGTCCAGGACTGCTAGGTGCTTGACTGTCCACATCATTTCAGGGCTTCCATCCTAAAACGCCTCCCCGACTCGACCGCCCTGACTGAATCCTCCTTAGTCTCCTTCCGCCTTGTCCCTTGTGCGCCTCTCTCCTAAAACACTCCCAGTGAATGTCAGCCCACTTTTCTCCCAGAAGATTTATCTACCGCCATGGCCTCGTCACCATCACCAGACTCCTGCTACCATCCACCATCACCTACCCCATAGACCTGCTGTCCTGGGAACCCAACTCCATCGTCAGTATCCCCAAGTCCTAGCACATCATCTGAGCCCAACAAACTTGTCCTTCTCTGTTCTCTCTTGGGAAATGGTTCCTAAGCCTCCAGGGAACCTTGGCTCCCATGGGAAACCTGAGGGTCAGACTCTCCGTGCCAGTTCCTTAAATACAGACACCAAGTCTAGTTCATTGCTGGTTCTGAGAAGGCTTTAATGAGCATCTGTGGAATGGCTGACTTGTACTTAATGGCCTAAGGGAAGGCAGATGACATGTGACCTAAGCCTTGAGCAGAGGGTAAGGGTCTTTGAGGCAGCCTGATTCACCCGTATGTCTCTCCACTGTGGTCCTCACCACCTCCCCCCACACCATGTTCCACAACAGGTGCTCACTCTCTGAATGGACTTTTTACTATCAAAGAGCTCTAGAAATGTCGGGGGACATGCGATACAGTTATGTGCTCTTTCTGCTCAGATATTTATTAGCCGTGTAACGTAGTAGGTAGATATTACATGACATCTCTGTCCCTTGCTTCCTTACCTGTATGATGTGCAGAATAATCCCTGCCTCTCAGGATCACTTTTAGGATTTAATCCAAAGGAACACATCAGGTATAAAGCCACCATACCCAAGACACCTTGCTAAGTATATTTGTCTATTCCTTTTGTCCCCGGGCCAGTGACAACTATACATACTTGTGTGTGTATGCACATGCATGTGGCATATGCACACCTTGTGTATGTGTGTGGGGTGCCCATGTGTACACATGTGGAGGCCAGGAGATAACATAGAGTATCATCCTTTATTACTCTCCATTTTATTTTTTCTTAGATTTTTATTGTTTCTTTGTAGTATGTGTATCTATGTGAATGTATGCTCATGTGTGTACAGGTGCCAGCAAAGGCCAGAAGACATCTTCAGAGCTCCTGGAGTTGGGGTTATATGCAGTTGTGAGCTGCTGGCTGGGAATTGAACCCTAGTCCTCTGGAGACCAGCGCGTGCTTTTAACTGCAGATCGCCTCTCCAGACTTACAATTTAAAAATTAATTGTGTGTGTGTGTGTGTGTGTGTGTGTGTGTGTGTGTGTGTGTGTGAAGTCAAAGGACAGCCTGCTGGAGTCATTTCTCTCTTTCTACAATGTGAGACCTAGACTGAACTCAAGTCTCACTGTCCAGGCTCCTAGAATCTGCCCGTCTCTGCCTCCCAATGCTGGTGCTACAGGTGTGCACAGCAGTGTCCAGCTTTTACATGGCTGCTGTGGATTTGAACTCAGATCTTCAACAAGTGCTCATACCCTCTGTGCCATCTTCCCAGACCCCAGTGACAGCTATCTATAAACGATCACAGCTCTGCCGGCAGTAGGAGACACCATAGGAACCACACCCTGCCTTCTACCGGATCAGCACCGTCACACACCTGTTTCTCAAAAGCAGTGGGCACCAAGCGTCGCAATTCAGAAAGGCTGCTGTTGATACGGTCCCGGCGCCGTTTCTCTATGATCTGAAAAATAATGACAAGACGTTCCCTGTAGGCATTTCATCACACTTTCCAGTGTGCCCTGATGGACACTGACTCATGTTTTCCCTCAAGTTATTATTTTTTTTTCTGGGCGGTAAATCTATTCGTTATTCATGGAGGCCGAGAATGGGAGTTCAGACTGACAATAATCTGCTTCATGCCACACAGTCAAAGCGTAGAGCTGGGACTTAGCATTCAAGCCTCTTGTCCTGGTCTGTAGGGACGACGTTCATCATATGTAAAGCAGGGCACCGCCTATCAGAATGAGGACACCAGCCTCAGTACTGGTGTAGACCTAGGGGACCCTGCCGGGCCAGATTAGCCCTCCAGTTTCTGCATCATGAGAACACCTGAAGAATTCTGGGTCTTGCTCTCTCTAGCTGCAGAGGCCTTCATGCACACTATCTTCCCCACAGTTCTGGCAACAGACTCCTCATAGCTGGGTAGAAATTATAACCCATCACTTTTTAGAGACAGAATACGAGGTAGGGAAAAACGATTTGCCTAAGGCTTCTGGTGAGTGAGTGAGTGAGTGATCCCAGTGCCGGATCCCAGGCCTCTGGATCCCCAGGAAAAGGTGGGGTAGGATAAGATGGAGAGAGGCTAGCAAGGAGCTCCCTCCCTGCTCAACACAAAGAAGAAAACGTTCTGGCTTCAGAGGAAACAGGGTAGAGAGGAGACTACAACGAAAGTATTGGTGGGCAATCGTCAGGTGCCGATCAGAGTTTATGGGAACCCACTCAGTCTTCAGAAGAGCTCTTTGACGGCTGGGGCTGTAGCCCAGTTGGTAGCGTGCTTGCCTCTAGCGTGTATGAGGTCTGCACTAAATCCTCAGTACTGCAAAAACCAGGTGTGGTGGTGCACGCCTGTAACACCAGCATCTGGGAGGTGGAGGCAGGAGGATCAGGAGATCAAGGGCATCCTCAGCAGCATAGTGAATTTGAAAAACAACCAACCAATCAGTCTTTTGAGGTAGATGCTACCTGTCACTCAGAGGAAGAAGGCAGTGGAGGGGAGGTGGCATGCCCAGCCACCAGGACGGCAATTGGCAGAGCTTGGGTTTGAACCTGTCCAGTCATCCGGGATGATGGGCAAGGCCTCCTTGGATTCAGTGCAAACCCTGATTGGGCTCCTCAAAGGCTGCGGCTCACTCACCCCTCTGCGTTTCTTCCGGGCTTGCATCTGTGAAGGGCTGGGGGTGGTCAGCGGTCTGACCATCTGGCTGCAGAGGAAGAGAAAAAGGCTAGTTTCTCAGAGCTGAGGGATCATCTCCCTGACCTAGACTGACCTGGGAGGCCCGGCTGGCAGCAGGCCAGGACCGGGGTGCATGGGGGTGGGGTGGGGCTCCCAGATGGTCATAGCCTCCCAGACCAGGAAGGGGCACGGGGCATGCAAAAGGGTCGCCTGCTCTCCTTTCTCCCCGGAGACCCATTTCTCTGGGGCCAAGGCCTCTGTGCTCCCCTGGCTTCCTGCCTGTCAGCCTCTGGCGGACGCGGGTAGCTCGCCTAGCCTCTGCTTCTGCGGGCGGCCGACCGTCGGGGAACCGCGAACCGAGATGCTCCCTCTCGGGTCCTGCAACCCGATCCCGGGGGCGGGCTGACTGAGGGCGCGGGCCAGCGGCGGCCAGGCCGGGCCGGGAGGGTTGGATTTCAGAGCTAGCCGCTGGGAAGGAGCGTGGAAAGCGCAGATGCCGCCGCTTCCCACGGGCCGGAGCGCCGCCGCCCGCCCTCCGCCCGGCCCGCAGCTGCCGCCTCCTCCCACGCGGCGCGGCCGGGGGCGAGGCGGAGGCGGCATCTGGGTCACAGGCTCCTCTCGCACGCTCGGGGACATTGCTCTGGCCTCCCAGAAGGCACGGGTCCCGGTCTCCTCGCCCTGCCTCTCCCATGCCTGTGCCTTCCTCTGAGACCCAGGCTGGATGACGGATGTTTGCTCCAACCCCAATAGTTCTGTTACAAAGACTCAGCAGAGGGGTTTCCTGCCCAGATTTTGACCAGAGTAATCACCCCAACCGCTTTCCGTCTGCATGGCCTTTTGCTCCAGCTATCACCTCAGAAGGCAGAGGTTCACTGGAGAGCACCAAGGACCCAACCCTACCGATGCTACTACACTCCACAACTTTGGGCAAAGTGCCTCCCCTGACATTTTGAAATGCCAACAAACATCTCAACAGGAGCCCATGAGCTTGCCCAGCACCTGCTTCTTGTCTGCCCTAGGCTCTCCGTCTCAGCAAAGGCCACCCCCAGCTTCTAGTTCTCTGGCACTTTCTTTGATTCCGCCGTGGTCTTCACCTTATGTGGTCAAAACCTGCCTATACCGCGTGTAGATAGTTTCCTGTCTGTTTTCGTGGTCTCCATGGCCCCTGATGTCTCTCACCTGCAGGCTTACAAAAAGAGCCTTCCCTTGGGTCCCACTGAACTTTTTTTTTTTTTTTTTCTGCTACTACCAGCAGACTTGATCTTGTCCCTCTTAAATTTCCCTTGGACTTCTTAATACTTTTAAGACCCAAAAACATTATCCTTTAACATTATCCTTTGGTTGGCCCAACTGGTTCCTGTCACCCCCCCACCCCCACCCCGAGACAGGATTTCTCTGTGTAGTTTTGGAGTCTGTCCTGGAACTCACTCTGTAGACCAAGCTGGCCTTGAACTCACAGAGATCCACCTGCCTCTGTCTCCCGAGTGCTGGGATTAAAGGCGAGTGCCACCACTGCCTGGCTTCCTGTCACCTCTGGTATCCAGTTGTCTCTTGCTCTGCATGCTCCAATCTGAATGCATGAACTCCTACATTTGCATATGTGTTCTGTAGTCTAGACATCTCTGGTCCAGTCCATCTCCTCACCTCCTCACCACAGCCTAACGACTTCAACCAGCGCCACTCAGCTGTCACCTCCTTTGGAGCCCCTCCCCCCTTTAAGATCCCTAGTCTGCTGCGTGGCCCCTGCTGGTTACTCCCCAGACTCCTGCATCCACAGCATTTATGCTGTCTAACTGTTTTATTCTGGCACGATGATTTGATTAACGTCCATCTCTCCAACAGACACGTCCACGAGGTTACGAGGCTCATCCATTTCACTCACTGTTACAGCTCAGGTCCTCAACCATCTTGGGACACAGCAGATCTCACAGTAGGATTTCTTACTTATCTTCAGTGTTACAGAGAATGTAAATATGAACAACATAGAAATCTGCCTTCTGGGCCTTCGTGGACTGGGGCCATACACAGCTCACCAGGAGGATCTCAGCCCATGTGACTCTCTTTGTGGCATCTGAAGTTGGATCATTCTCAATACCTCACAGAAAGGCAGCTTCAGGAGAGACCAGATAGCACATTGCCTCAGGCTTGTTCCAGCCACATCTGGAAAAAAACGTATCTCTCACCCTCACATCTGGACAAACAGAGCTGCTGAAAGGCCTGTGAAAGCTCCCAGGAGGCAGGGCCCTGTGAGCCAGGGCCTGAGATCTGTGGGCAGCTTGTTTACAAAACCTTCCCTGGTTCACTGGGGACAAGCTCTAAGAGCCAAGGTACATAAGAAATACAGCCTTTGTTTCCCTGGCTGGAGAAAGCGTCTCTCTGGGTATTGGGTTAGCCTTGTGCACGTCACTGCCTCGCAGACTGATCCCTCCTCAGGGACCATCTGTCAGAGGTTGACACAGCAACACCCAGCTTCAGGGCCAAGTGCGCTGTTCCACCTTTCCCCAGGCTCCTGGTCAAACACCCCTGCCACCTGATCTGCCCCTTCCTCCAAATCTCCCAGGCAAATCTCCCCTTACAGTTTGCTTGGCACCCCTGCCAAGGTTCTCTCTCCTCTGGGTTTTATAAAAGTCCATTTTCCAGATGAGGATGCTGAGCCTCACTCAGGGTGCCAAAGTGGCTTGGCCAGCCCACCCAGCTGCTCAGGAGCAAAGCAGCATGGGAACCTATCTTCTGACTCCCAGTTCAGCATTGTTTTCCTTCTTAAGTGTGACTTCCTGTCTGTCTGACTAGTCCTCCAATCCCCTTATCCTTAAGGCTCCCAGCCAGAGCTCACCACAGCCTGGGATCTGGCCCTGACAGTGGACGGGGTTCTGGGAACTTCTCCTCTGAGTGTCTGGGCAGATCTTCATGGACCCAGAGAAGAGATGGTGAGCGCCAGTATCTTCACGGGCCTCCTGCAGCCCCTAGACAGGATTCCAGGGCAGTCTCTTCAGGTGGTATAGCTTTCAAAGTGGTCTGCCTGCCAGTCCTGAACACCCCCAGTCCCAACTCCATCTGGGAAGTCCCCTGTGTGGGACCTTTGGTGATGACTCCACCCATTTTGTATCAAGCAAAGGCAACATTCCAATCAAGGCTCTGAATGATGGACAGTCACACAGAGCTAAGACCGTTAGTAAATGAGAACACTCAGAGAGAGAAAGGACCTTTGACCAGCCATACAGCAAATAAGAGGAAAATCCAGAATCTGAGTTACATCTACTGCCTTTAAAATATGTAATACACACACACACACACACACACACACACACACACATATATATTATAACATTACTTTATGTGTTTGGGTGTTCTGCCTGCATGTATGTCTGTGCAAGAAGAATGCACCAGATACCCTGGAACCTGGATTACAGGCAGTTGTGGGCCGCCAACAGTGCAGAGAGTCAGACCTGGAAGGACAGCGTATGTTCTGAACCCGCTGAGCCCCACATCTCCTGGATTTTAATTCAGTACTCTTGCCAATGTATTCCAAATATGCATCATCCCACCATGTCTCTGTTGTAGCCTGCACTTTCTGTTCTAGACAGCAGTATGTAGCCATTTGTCTCATACTTTGCATAATAGACCTTAGGAAAACAATTGTTTTAGGGGGAGGAATGTGACAGATTTCCCATAATGTAGTCTGTAGATTTCTAGTTTTTCCATTAAACTTTGCTGCCTCATGAATGTGGCACCCCCCCACAATGTGACAACATTTATTAGAAATTACCTGCGCCAAAGCAAGAAGCTATGTGCTATATGTATATACAACCTCATTCAAGCTTTACTCTCAGAGGTAGATATTTACACACGCATTTTGCTAAAAAAAAAAAAAAAGAAGAAGAAGAAGAAAGAAAAGAAAGAAAGAAAGAAAGAAAACGTTAGTTCAGGAAAGAGTAAAGTCACTCACACATGGAAATGGTGGGGACGGTCAAACTCAGGTCTCTGACTTCAAAGACTACCATATGCCTTAAATCATAAAGAAACAGCCCATAGACCCTGACTTCAAGTCTGACATGTGGGAGGTGCTCATGAAATATTTGAAGATGGGTAAGGGAGAGGCTGTATTCTGTGTGGATCCAGACTGTTTCAGGGGGCCAACTTCACACAAGAGCTCTGTGGGTGATTCCCACGGATGGAGCAGGTTGCTACCACCGGGCAGATGTCCTTGGTGACATCAGAACACACTCTGCCCCTTTGGTCTCACATCTCTGAATGGGAGGGATTTGTGCACTGCTCTGACCCCAGAGTCTGGCTGCCCCAGCCCTGTGGCCCCTGCCACTGTCTATCCGGCTGTCTTTGTACATGAAGCTCTTCTTCCCTGAGAGTTCCCCGAGGGCAGAGGCTGAGCAGGATACATCTGGGCTCTGATGCCCAGCCCAGGGTCTAGGCCACAGCAGGCATCGTTCAGTGGTCTCTGAATCGAAGCATTTATGTCTACTGGGGGGAGGGCCCTTCTGGAGAGTGCTACAAAGAGGCATCTTATAAGTCAGTCTGCCAGATGTCCAGCTGCCTTCCCTCCTTGGAGGAGTCTGGTCTTCTGGAGCAGTCTTTAACAATGAGCTCTGGTTAAAATGACAAAAAGATAAAGAGGGGAAAACCTGCAGTGACCTTTTACACCTTAGTCCCAGTGCCGCCACCATCGGGAAGCCATTATCATCATCCCTGGCTGTGAGTGGCCTCTCCCCACTGGGGGGGGGGGGGGCAGGGGATCAAAGCCCACACTATGACTCTTCTTCCATGTAATCCAGACTCTCCATAGCCCTTGCCAGTTACTGCCCAGACTGTATACTCATGAAGGATAGAAGCCGGCTCCGATCCATCTCAGCTGGCATCGACTCTGTACGCTGGTCCTTGAAGACCCAGTGGCACTGAGTTTGAGATCTTCTGTTCTCCATCACCATGTGGTGCTGGTCCCTATCAGTAGGCACTGGCTTCGAAAGTTATTTCTATAAATAGCAGTTTCTGCTAAGTAGTTTTTAAAGGGTTTACATAAGGAACTACATTGTACATCCCCATACCTAACATGCAAGATGAGAGAGAGAGAGAGAGAGAGAGAGAGAGGGAGAGAGAGAGAGAGAGAAAGAGAGAGAGAGAGAGAGAGAGATCTATTGCCATTAGCTCCCTTCCTTTGGTTTTTTGAGATAGGGTCTCACTACTCATGGAGATCTGCCTGCCTCTGCCTCCTAAGTGCTAGATTGAAGGTGTGTGTCATCTCATGCCTGGCTGTAGCTATGTGCGTGTACTCCATGTACCAGGGCATGAACATGGAGGTCAGAGACAAGGTTCCAAAAATCAAGAGAGTTTATCTACTTCAGCAGTTCTTTCTTTCCTTTCCACTCTCATCCTTTTCCCAGTGTGGAAATTGACTCAGGCAGGGAAACCAAAGGCTCAAAACTGCATGTCCATAGGGTACTTGGCTAGCATGCACCAGGCCCTGAATCCAATCCCTAGCACTAAAGAAAGGAAAAGGAGGAGGAGAGGAAAGAAGAAAGAGAGAGAAAGGCAGGCTGTATGGTGACTTGGTGGCAGATGTGGGCTGGGTGGCAAGGGCTTGAAGACTCTTTCAAGTGTGAGCCTGATGCTAAGCATTCCCCATGAGCTGCTGCTAAGCATGTAACATCCTTTCTTCCACTGGGTTTTTACTAACACTATGGAGCAGGCTTTATTATTTATTCCCATTTTACAGATCAGAAAACTGAAGCTTATGGAGTCACAGAGCTAGGAAGTAGCAAGGACCATACAAGATCAGTTTGTTCCACAGGTTAAAAGTCAGAATATTTAACAAAAGTGGAAGAACACTGGCAATTTGGGTGGTTTTGTGGAAGGGGCACTGAGATTGGAGTCTAGGTTCTTCCAAACTGGCTAGGAATTTTTTTTTCAGTACCTAAACCCAATGCCAGCGTTCAGTGTGCTCAAAGGGACACCCCCCCCATCCTTTTGTGTACCATGTGAAAACTACTCCCAAAGAAGGGTAAAACTGGGAAGTACAGATGTCTTCATAGTAAATAGATTAGGGGCAACGGAATGTGGAACCTACGTCTATGAAAGTTTCCTAAGGTCTGCAGGAAAACTTTCCAGGGGCATCCCTGGGTGCAGTCAAATGGCATAATATACCCCCTAGCAGAATTCTCCTTCCATCCCAGCGTCCAGAATCCTAACTGGCCCGGGGTACCCAGGAATTCGCCATACTGGTGCTGTGGACACAC